GAACGCCAAGGCTACAGATGACAATTTCATTCCGAATAACATGTCTGACATTGTGTGTGTAGTCAGGAGCCATATTGAAAATGGTAGCAGTTTGATTTCGGAAAGAGCACAGTTACAATTGTATACAGTTATTGGAAGAAATTCATAAATTCTTTCTTCGAAATCGTCAAGCAAATTACATTCACATTGGGACATTGTTTTGAGTGCAGCAAAAAACTTAAAGCTCAGCTAGAAATGAAGATGAGCTGCTTTTTTATGTGAAAACACGAAACTAGCCTGAATTCTATGGATTCCAGACATTTCCTGCCGTGTTTGCATTAGTTGAGAGCACATGAAAAAGATGAAAGACGATTACGCTTTCTCATGCATTTCTCCTCTTGTTAACTTTAAGGCATATTGCATAAAGAGGTAACTCAGTTTCCAATTGTGATTTCAATTAAAATCGGCTGCCTATGCGCTTCTTTTCATTCGGATTATGAAAAGGTCTTTAGAAAGATGAAAAAATATAAATTATGCATCTTACTGTTTATTTTCGTTTCTGTCAGGCAGAGAAATGGCTGCTCTTAAATCGCTGATAAGCAGCAACGCAATAAATTACGATACTTAAAAACATTTTTTCTCGTTTCATATCTCAGGCTCAACCTTCATCTACACTTACCTAGAATTTACTATTCAATGTCAACAAACAAAAGCATACTTGACGTTATAAAAATTTCAAAAAAAAGATCCTTATCGCGTCAATAGAAAAAATTACTGCTGCTTGAATTTAAAATAACTTCTCTTCATTTTTGGATTATTATCAAGAAGCAAAAAAATTCAAAATAAGTGGGCAACAATCAAGTGAAATACTTTCTACAATTGCAAGGGGTACCACAACAGATGTGACACTGCTATCGAAGGTCATGGAACCAACGCAGCACATAACTAGAAGTTGTGTGATTATTTGGATAGATAAGAATATTGACGTAAACAGTGAAACACATGAAAATACACTTACTCTGTTGGAAAACGTGACCGAGGATGTTCATATTTTCACCCAAACTGATGAAGGTATAGATTTCCTCACTGACATCAATGATCAAAGTGCATTCCTAATTCTATCAAATACAGAAGATCGAGATATGATACCTATTGTTCACGATATTCCTCGTCTGGAAAGTGTTTATATCTTCTGCACTAGAGAAGCCTTAATCCACAAATGGAACAAGAATTCCGGCAAGGTCAAAGGCATGTACACCGATATCATGCGTCTTTGTAAAGCACTGCAAGATGCCATAAAACAATGTTACCAAAATGAAATTTCCATGAGTTTTATTAGTGTAAACGAAGAAAGTTCAAAAATAGCTCTAGATCAACTGGAACCATCATTTATGTACACACAATTGTTTAAAGAAATTGTTCTTGAAATCGATCACAACAAAGAACAATTTCAAGATTTCATTCTATTTTGGCGTAACGAATCGCAAGGCAATAAAACAATATTGAATACTATTAAAGAGTTCGAGAACAAGTACACTGCCGAAAAGTCGATTTCATGGTATATTGATACACCTTTCATCTATCAGACACTTAACTTCTCACTTAGAACACTCGACACGGAAAAAATGAAGAAAATGAGTTTCTTTATACGCGATCTGCATTGCGAACTCGAAAAATTCCGCAAAAAGCAGNATTATGTCTTTGGAGGTTGGATGATTTTCCATGGACATCAAGTAAGTAATGAGTAGAGATATGTATCAATATTCAATCTGTCGAACTTAGGATTATTGAGAAAAATGTGTGGAAGTATGTGGTAATTAATGTTAAGAAGATAGTCAGGTGTCTTATTCTTGCGTAGTTACATCTTTACTCTTTTGATATATAGTAACAAATAAATGACGCATAATTATTCTATTTTGTGACTTTCATAAGTAATTTTCAGGGAGGAAAAATAAAATAAAATATGTTTGAATAAAAAGAAATATTTTTTTCATTATTTTTTATTATTGCTTTTAAGTTCGACCAGATATTCCCTCAAGAAGATATGGGATTTTATTTCCACGATGGCAAAAAACTTTACAAGCATCTAAATCAATCCGTACGTGGGTAAAAATTGATTTTTTCAGGGAAAAGAATGATTTTGTCTTGTTTAGTTCAACATGTACGTGTTTTTAAAGAAGATCTTTGTGAGTTAGTTGAACAATTAAAAGGATTGGTCTACTTAAATATTTATGGTAAAACTTCGTACAAAAAAGTTGAACTATATCGTTTAATGGTTAAAAATCGTTTTCCAAACAGTCATAGTGATATTCAAACATCAAGATTTCGTCTTTGGATATGATGGTTGTTTCCAATATGTCATAGATGTATATTGAAAATAATTATCATTGTACTTTTTTTTCTTTCATAATTAATTCATTAAAATTATTCCTAATATTGTTTGTTCCTTTTAAATAAGGAATTTATTATTTCATTAATAAAAAAAAAAAATATACAGATATGTCATAGAATATATAAAAACAAAAATATTGTTGTTGTTCTTCTAAACATTGGGTATTACTAAGTTTTGTTTCATGTATAAGCTACAAATTACAATAAAATCATCTCCTTTTGAAATAATCAAATGATATCAAGGTCTTGTCTAAGGTTAATTATTCCGTTTCTTAATCATTCTCTCTTTCACAAACAATCAATATATACATTCATTTAAAAGAAGTATATACATAGAGTAGCTGAAGTATCCGGCATTGCCCGGGAAAATTCCATATTGTATGCTTGACATATTGGAAAACGATGATCTTATAGTTTTCTATGAATCTCTCAAAATATGTATATTTTGCGATAACGAATGGAACAGATTTTCACGTTGTTCTATGTTGCTGTCATTGTAATGAGATGTTGATTGTGCGTAGGTTTACGGATATAGAATTGGTTCAGACATATTTGAACAACTATTAATTGATTGAACTGAAGGTAATTAATTGTTCTATAAATTTGTTTTACTTGATTGATTTTTAATTAATGACATAATTAATCCACCGCTAGTGCGGAGGAATTATCGGATATAAATATATAAAACAAAAAAACGTACAAAAATGCAATCGTGCTCTATGAAGACTGATGATAAAATGAGAAGAATGTTAATGACAATTATATATTTGAAGAGTTTGAATAGGAAATTCATTGGAGCCCTATTGATGTTTTTTATATATTGAAAAACGTAAATATAATAATAAACGAATACAAATTCTTGGCTCTTTTAACATTTGCATGGCAGTTGGGTATTTAGTAAGATGGAAAAAAAAATAGAGAAAAATATTCTACAAAACGTTAATTTAATAATTACAGCAAAAGGATTTATTTATCAAGAAAGTCATCAGCCAAAATTCATCTTAAAAAACCATTGAAATTCAATTTGATACTATTTCTCACCTTCAAAATAATTTATCAGTAAAATTCAATATAGTTTTATAATAATAAATGCCTTGTATTACCAAGAAATTCTGATTAATAACTTCTTCAAAACAAATGATATCGATAACAAAAGTTTTATTTTAAAAATAATACAAAAAAAATCACATTCTGTTCATTATGAAATGACTAATATCTTGTTCATTGTTCAATAGATAATTGATATTGATCATTAACATCAGTATCGATTCTAATATGACCAGGTGATACGACTGTTGACAGATAAGATGTAATATGTTTTTCAATATGATCTTTAACTGGACTAAAACCCGAAACTGAAAAAAAATCGAGTCAATTTTTAGTTGAATAATTCTTATTGAAAATTTAATACATAGTTTGTAAGATTTTTGAAGAATCGATTGAATAGCTTTATTTGTTAAACTGATTTTAATATTTTTTTCTTTAAATCTTTCTTCAATTGATATCACTTGCAGTTGAATAACAGAAGAAAGTTGATTATAAGTAAGAGGTTGAAAAAATACAATATCATTTACATGACGGATAAAGTTTTCTGGAAAATGTGAAACGACCTTTAAGAAAACACATACATCTTTATTTATTCATTTGATTTAAAATTATTTGAAAAAGAAACAAACGTTTTTTATCACAAAATCTTTTATTGTTTGAGAAATTTTTCCATCAAATTTAACGTTGGTTAATAAGAAGTTTTCAATTTTTTTTAAAGTAATTTGTGCGACTACATTTGATTTAAATATAAGAATTGTGTTTGTTAAATCAACATTTACATGTTTCTCATTCTAAAAATACATTTCGAAATTTCCTTTTTTTATCTATAAAATTTAATTTACCAAAGAATGATTATGATCCAAAACTTGAGATAAATTATTCCAAAATTGTGGATGAACTTTTTCAATTTGATTAAATAAAATTACAGCATATGGTTGTTGTCGCATACCTTCTAATAATTGATCATTTTGTTTAAAATCAACAAAATCAAATAACTCCGAAATTGAAAAACTATCCTTACCAAAAGATGAATCAAATAATTGAGCAATTGAATTAGATGTAGTATATTTATTCATATCAATAGAAATCAGTTTTTCTGTTGAATCAAATAATTCTAATGCTAAAGTTTTTGCTAATTCAGTTTTACCAACACTATTTGGACCTATAAATATACTTATAATATTTTTCGTTAGATTAATGTGTTATTTTACCTAAGAATAAAAATAAACCAATCGGTTTATTTGGTTTTCCAAATATAGCTCGATTTCGTATAACTTCCACAACACTATCAATGGCATCATTTTGTTCAATGATTTTTTGTATAAATGATCACGTAATGTTAATAACCGATCATTTTCTGTTTTAGACAATTTTGAAGATGCAATACCAGTCATTCGACTAACTAAAAAAAAAGAGAAAAACAAAATCAAATCTTAGTTATAAGCGAATCTATAAAAGACTCAAGACTTTTTCTTATTTTGAAAAAGTAAAATCAAAAATTTTTTAATTTATTAATATATTCTTTTTCTAAATAATAGTTTGATTTGATTAAATTTAATTCTTTTCCAACCTGTTTTAATTTTTCATTTTCTTCGTTTGATAAATTCCCTATTTTATCGTTTAATTCTGATTCTTTTTGTTGTAATTCATTAATTCTTTTTGATTGATTAGTCATTCGTTCTTTTGTATTTTTACATATTTCTTTAATCAAATCTTTGATAAAAAATACAAAAAGAAAAGAGTTATTTGAATTTATAAATTTGAAAAATATTTACCAATTGTTTTCTCTGGTGAATATGGGTTTGGTATATAACGATTAGTTAATCCAGCAGCAGTAACTAAAGCTAAATCAAGGATTAAAACTAAATTAAAAAAATATATATGAATATATGTATAGAGAATTGAATTAAAAATTTTTTGCCATCAAAATCTGATTCAATATGACGTTTAACACCACGTAAAATTAAAATACAATCATTAACTGATGTTTCTTTAACTAAAACATATTGAAAATATTTTTCAAATATCGAATTTGTTTCATTATATTTTCTATATTCGCTCAATGTTCTTGTGCCAATAATACAATGAAGTTTATCATGATCTTAAAATAACCAATTCTATTAAATTATCAAATTAAAAATAAAATTTCATACCAAATAGAAGTTTCAGTAAATTTATTATATTTTTTACATCTAAAAATGAAATTTTTCAATTATTTATTTTAAAAACGAATTTACCTTTACCTTCAATTTGTTAAGCATCGAAAATTAAATATAGATCAGTAATAAATAAAATAATATTACCAGTTAAATTTTTAATATCTTTTAAAATAAATCGAAGACTTTTTTCAAGTTCGTTACGACTAGTTGTATCAGCTAGAACATATGAAATTTTTTTATGATTAATATTATGAAAATAAACATTTTTCTAAAGATTTTTACAATCCTTTATAAATTTATATTCGTCTAGAAAGTTTAGATAACTCTTACTAATTAATGCTTGCATATTTAATGCAAATAAACGTCTTGGCATTATATCAGGAACTTTTTGATCAACAATACGTTGTGCTAAACCACCAAGAATAGTTGTTTCTGTAACACGCTATTTAAATAAAGATATTGTTTATTTATAAAAGAAAAAAAGTTCAGGTAATATGATTACTGAATCTTCAATTAGAAAAAAATTATTTTTTCTTTTTTGTATTAAAATTTGAATACATTGTCGAATTTCACTATCATGACCAAGAACTAAAATAAACAAATAAATTTATTTATATCTAATAAAAAAATTTTCTTACCATTATTTAATTTTCCTTCTCGAGCAAGATATAATAAATCAATACTATATTTTCGGATATTTGGACAGCTCTAAACAAGAGAGATAAAGAATTAATCAATATAAATATACACGTGCAGATATCAAGAGAGGAAGAAAAAAAATGAGAGAAAATAGGTGACTGTTAAATACCATCATTACATTGGAACAAGAACGAAAAAAGTCACAAAAATATTTTTGTTTTAATGTTCTTTGAAAAATATGAGTTTTATTAAATCTAATTAATAATGATTTCTAACTCAAAAGATAAACAAAAATAATTTTATGTCTAATATTTACATTTTTTGTTCATTAATAACTATTTAATAGCAATTCTTTTCTATATATTTCTCATTCTTTTATCGATTCGAATTTTTTCATTTCTTAATTACTATTTATTTTCATACAATAGAATAAGATAATAGTTTTAGAAAGAAAATAAATGCGGAAACTTCGGATTTAAATCCGAGAGTTATGTGTACTTCAAAAAGTGAATCATACAAATCAATCATCCTAGACTATCTGAATATCAAAATTACACTGATGATATTTCG